AAGAGACATAGGTGGGCTTAAAGTTTTAACAGGTTTAATAGTAGAAGCTGGTAACATTCAGTAAAAACAAGTCGGATGACATTCCATTAGGCTATTAAGTTGATCCACCAACAAAAGCTTGATCTTAGCAAACATTCTCTTCTTACAGCAATTTCCCAGTATCTTTACATATCAATCAGTAACCTGTCTGTCTTTGAGCCAGCAACCTTGCTGTGTTACAACTCTTTATCTTACAACAGAGACTCAATAGCCTGGGGAAAATTTCCTGTTTTTTGTAAGGTCAATATTTGAAACTGCAAGGCTTTGGAAAACCAGGCCCTGTGAAGTACATAGGCCTTATGCATATTCTACACTTGGGTAGTGTGTGTGTGTGCATGTGCACATGCACATGTGTGTGCATTTATTTTCTTTGATGTTCTCTGGGCCCCTTCAATTCATGAGTTGGTGTCTCATCAATTTTGGAAAACACTTGTGTCTATCTCTTTAAATATTTCTTCTATTATTTCTCTCTTTCTCTTCTTCTGAGATTCCAATTACAGATATGTCTCTTGGGTATGTTCTGGTTTGGTTGTCTGTTTTTTCACTATTTTTTTTTTCTCCTAGTTTTTCAGTTTGATTAACTTCTATTTCCCTATTTTCACTTCAATAATTCTTTTCTGGGCTATCTTGAGCCAACTGATAAACCTATAGATGAATCACAATTTATCTTCTTTTTTTCTTGTGTCACTTGGGCTTTTGATGTCAGATCTAAGAAGGCTTTGCCTAGTCCAAGGTCACAAACGCTTACTTCTATATTGTCTTCTAAAAGTTTCAAAGTTTTAGCTATTATTTCTGTGTCTGTGATCCAGTTTGAGTTAATTTTTGTGTATGGTGTGAAGAAGGGGTCTTTCTCTCTCTCTCTTCATTCCTTTCTTTCTTCCTTCCTTCCTTCCTCTCTCTCTCTCTCTCTCTCTCTCTCTCTCTCTCTCTTTCTTTCTTTCTTTCTTTCTTTCTTTCTTTCTTTCTTTCTTTCTTTCTTTCTTTCTTTCTTTCTCCCTTTCTTCTAACCTCATGAGATATCCAGTTGACTCAGTACCATTTGCTGAAAAGATCATTCTTACTACATTAAATTGTCTTGGCACTCTTGTTGAAAATCAATCGACCACAAATGTGAGGGTTTATTTCTGGATTCTCCATTCCTTTCCACTGGTCTATATGTCTTTTCTAAATTCTCATAGCTCTACATTAAGCTCTTAGTTTTTAGATATGGTCATCTCATTAGTGTGATTAAAATTATGGTGACGTGTTTGGGTACAAGTTTCATCTGCTCCCTGGCAACATTATTCTGATTAGTGCTCTTCTTCTATTTGTTTTTGTTGTTCATATATTCCTTTTATCTTGTTCCTTTTTTGTTATCATTTGTCACTGAGGTGTTACTTCTAAATAAGCCTTTTGCAGAATGTCCAAGTGAATATGCCAATGAAACACCGGAATTGAGTTTCAGGCTAGCAGGAATTCTCTTTATGACAGATAAATAATTGCACTGTGAGTTTTAAGTCTTTACTTCTCCTTAATCCTTCAAGATCAAGGCTGTAGGGTTGTTTACATCTCAGAATCTCATTCTTCCCCTCCACCACTTACAAAAGAGATTTTTACTGCAAAATGACTTTTCTATGTGATTATTTGTTCAGGCCCCATCTTTTTCACCTCTTCATACTTGTGCTGAAAGAAGTCCAGCAAAGTCACTGTTGCTAGCCTGTATACCTTGATCTCATTTTTGCACTAAATGACTGGGTTTTTTATTTTTTAATATCAAAGTGTGATACTATGAAGAAGTATGCTCTCATGGACTTTTCTGAAGCCTGCAGACCATGGGCATCCACTCTTTGAACCTTCTGATACCAGTTTGATGTTGAAGGCACTTGCTCTGTTTTGTGTTTTCATGGCTTCAAATATCTTCCAGTTTAATTAGAGTCTGTGTTCTGTCTTTCATTCTTTGGGATAATTTCTGAAGGAGTGGGAAGAAATGCTAGACTTTTCTCCACCATGTTAAAAACTGACCATATTTTGGAGCTCCATGAAAGGCACAATGGATGACCATCTACGTCAGGAATTGACAAATTATGGCCCTTGGGTAGTCCAGTCTGCTGCCTGTTTTGTAAATAAAGTCTTATAGGAACACATGCACACACACAAAACTTGTCATCTTCTACTATGTCTTAAACTTTTTTGTAATTCTTCCTTTCTATTTCATCCAGCTGAATTACAATTTCACCTTGTGTATACTCTTTGTGCTCTTAAATTATAGATGCCATATGTTTGTGGTCTTAAATTATGGAAGCTATGTCTTCTTGTGTTTATTTTAGTGTGTCAAGTTTTTTTTGTTCTCACTTTTCCTCTGGAATCTACAGTAGATTACTTTCAGAAGTAGGTACTTCCTCTGAGTTTCATGACTTCTCTTCACTTCTCCTTGTTCAGCAATATTTTTATAGGTTGCCTGTTGTTGTTTGCTCTCATCCTCAAACAAGGTACAAACATGTCCTGATCAAGGTTTGTTACCAGACAGGATGAGTGGCTTGCTCTTAGCCTATCTCTCTGTCCACTTGGTGGATGTTGAATTCCCTTCTCAACTCAACAGCTAGAAGAAAGGTTAAGGAAAGCTAATCCAAGTCTAATTTCTAGTTTCTACTGGGTTTTTTTCTCTATTCTCCTATGATGGCCTTTCTCCTCTTACTTTTTCTTACTGCCAGTGCAGGCTTGTGATCAGCTGGGTTCTGTCTGTCTGAATTACTTTGTTAGGAACTAGTTCTAAGATTGGATAACAGTTTACAGAGTCGATTAGTTCATTGAAAGCCCTGGTTAGATCACAGAGGCAGGAGGCTGATCTGTATATTTGTAGTGCTGACCAAGTCCCAAACTTGGCTAGGTTTCTTATGTCTATGTCACGTGTTGGAGGAGGATATTGGAAGCTGAGGTATCACCAAAAGAATTATAATTCTTTTCATTTTCTTCATATCTGTGATTATATCTCCTTTCTTATTTCAAATGTTATATACATATATACATATATATATATAATTTATTAATTTCTATTTGCTAATCTATTTTATTGACTTTTTCATCACAGAACAAACTCTTTAAGCTCTTGGATTGAGATTTATGAATTAATTATAATATTTTAAATTTATATTTTGTCACCCATGTCATACAAGAAAATGTTCTCGTTACAAATATTCAACCAATGCAGGTATAACTAGAGTCCCTCTTTATCACCATTCCCAATTTTAGGCCTCTCTTAGTTAAGCTCTGTTACCATTTTAGTGCATGTCATTCTAGATCTGTTTGTTGAGATCCATTACCCATTTTCCTACCCAATTACTGTCCTCATCAGGAAAAGGAAGAGATTGGTTTGGTCTCAGTTATAACAGTGGAATTTTAAGAGTCAGAAGCTTTGTTTAAATTATTCATTTCTGCTCCAATCCTGGTATACTCTAACCCAACATAATTTTACATCATCAAAAATGTGCTTCAAATATCATGAAATTAGGCTCACAATATCCAAATTTATGATATAGTTATGTCCCCATTTTTATTGAATTCACATTATTATGACTATGTAACTGTTGTTCACTGAGGAACCAAATAGCATTACATTTCCGTTTTTTCATTTTTAACTGGAACTTCTAATTATTTTCCTGTTCTTCCTATAATGTCTTACCTTTAGTTATACTATTTTTCAGGAGTTCCATCATATAACATACTCTTTTTTGCTTAGAGACTTACATCGGGCTCCTGTCTGAGTTGGTTCCCTCTAGGCCTGAGGCTCAGTTATGAATTTGGGACTTTTCTTCACCCTCCCCCAGTATAGGTACCTGGTTCCCTGGACTCCATGTCTAACTCTTTTTTGATATACTCCTCCATTTTGGTGGTGAACATTCTGTAATCACTTCGAGAGAATGGCTTCATTGGAACTAAATTTTCTGACTCCTTGTATATTAGAAAAATTTTTTATTTTCCTTTCCCATTTGATTGATAGATTGGCTGCATATTGAATGCAATGTGCTGTGATTCCAAAATGTGTTTGACCACATTTCTGTGGACATCCCATTATTTCACAGGGCTCTGTGAAATAAACTTTTGGGAAAGGCTTCCCTGTGAGGGAAAGCTGGATGCAGTTAATATCTTGCCCGCAAAGACCATGTGAGATAACAAGGCTGTTGAGTCAGCCAATGGGTAGCTTGGTAAAAGCTTATTTTGACCCTTATCCTTATGCATCTACTTTATCACCATGGAATTGACCTATTATAATTCATTGCATGCATTCACTCAGCTAATCCTGTTCATGGTAGAAATTAATATTGCTAGAACTGTGGTGGGGTTTTATATTAGGTGGATCCTAAACCTAAGTGCTGCTCCCTTGTGCTTACTTATCCTGAAAATTGGTGACGGTGTATGCTAGGCATTGTGTTATGAAGTTTCAATGCATTATATGAGGGGGTAGATACTATCAGCTTCATTTGCAAATTAGAAAACTGGAGCTCAGAGAGCTTAAGTGACTTGTTCAAAGTCACACAGCTGATAGCTGGTAGAGCTATTATTTGACCCTAGGCAATCTGACTCTAGAGCTGGTGCCACTATATTGTATAGCAACAACACCTAGCCTGTGTAAAAACTTTCCTAAGTCACTGTCATCATCAGAGAGTTCCATGTGACTATTAAGACTCTCCACTATTGTGTATGTTAATTACACTTCTCCATTTCTATCCAAATATCTACTCAGTTTTAATCATCTCTTTCCTGTGGTCACACACAGGCATAGCACAATAGCAGCAATGCAAAAACCACTTTTACCACCATTGTTAGACTGTTCCATGTGTCAGGAATTTAACCCAGTGACCTGTGATATAATGGTGCTAACTAGTATTTTTCATTTATCTGAGAATGGGAGAGAACCTCTAAAACATAACTTGCTTGGAACCTGGGTTATGAGTAACAAGAGTCTTATTCTTCATCATCTCCAGGTCTGTGGGTTCTGGGGTGCCACAACTCAGACTTTCGGAACAGAGGCATGACAGCCTTGCTGAAGGTTTCTAGTTGTGAACGGAACACTGGTGATTATTATGAAGATACATATGAAGATATTCCAACCTACTCGCTGAGTAAAAGCAATGTCATTGAACCCAGAAGCTTCTCCCAGAATTCAAGGCACCCTAGCACTAGGCAAAAGCAACTCGAAACTGGCACAATTCCAGAAAATGACATAGAGAAGATTGGAGAGAGAGCACAGATGCTTAAAGTACAAAGTGTCTCCTCTAATGATTTGTTGATGCTCTTGGGACAGAGTCCTACTCCACATGGGTTATCTTTATCTGATCTCCAAGAAGCCACGTATGAGGCTATTCCTGATGATCATTCACCTGGAGCAATAGACAGTAACAAGGGCCCATCTGAAGTGGCACGCCTCATGCCAGAGCTCCAACACAGTGGGGACTTAATATTTACTCCTGAGCCAGGCCTCCAATTAAGATTAAATGAGAATTTGGGAACAACTATAGCAGCAGAGTTGAAGAAAATTGATTTAAAAGATTTTAGTTCATCAAATAATCTAATGACTTCACCAACAATTTCATCAGACAACTTGGCAGCAGGTACTGAAAAGACAGGTTCCTTCGGAACCCCAAATATGCCAGTTTACTTTGGTAGTCAATTAGGCACCACCGTATTTGGCAAAAATCTATCTCCCATTATTGGGTCTGATGTACCTCTGAACTTGAGTGAAAGAAATAATGATTCCAAGTTGTTAGAAGCAGGCTTAATAAATAGTCAAGAAAACTCACTGGGAAAAAATGTATCATTAATGGAGAGTAATAGGTTATTTAAAGAGAAAAGAGCTGATTTACCTGCTTTGTTTACCAAATATAATGCTTTATTTAAAGTTAATATTTCTTTATTAAAAAACCCCAAGGCATCCACTAATTCAGCAAATATTGGAAAGACTCACATTGATGGTGCAACCTTATTAACTGAGAATAATACATCAGTCTGGCGAGATACTATATTAGAAAGTGATACTGAGCTTGAAGAAGTGACATCTTTGATTCATGATGAAATGTTTATGGACAAAAATACTACAGAGTTGAGGCTAAATCATGTGTCAAATAAATCTGCTTCCTCAAAAAATATGAAAATGGTCCACCAAAGTAAAGAGGACTCTGTACCACCAGATGCAGAAAATCCAGATATGTCATTCTTCAAGATACTGTTCCTGCCAGAATCAACAAATTGGACAAAAAGGACCCATGAAAAGAACCCCATGAACTCTGGGCAAGGGCCTGGTCCAAAACAATTAATATCCTTAGGGTCAGAAAAATCTGTGAAAGATCGGAATTTGTTGTCAGAGAAGAATAAAATGATGGTAGGAGAGGATGAATTTACAAAGGACACAGGACTCAAAGAGATGATTGTTTCAAGCAGGAGGAACATATTTCTTACTAACTTGACAAATGTACAAGAAAATAATACACACAATGAAGGAAAAAAATATCAGGAAGATATAGAAAGGAATAAAACATTAATCCAAAAGAATGCAGTTTTGCCTCAGGTGTACACAGTGACTAACACTAAGAATTTTCTAAAGAGCGTTTTCTTACCGAGCCCTAGGCAAACTGTTGGTTTAGATAAGGGGGTTTATAAGCCAATACTTCAAAACACCAGTTCATTAAACAATTCAGCAAACAGAGCAGAGACTCACATCACCCATTTCTCAAAAAGAGAGGAGAAAGCAAACTTGGAAGGCTTGAGAAATCAAACGAAGAAAATGATAGGGAAGTACATAAACATCACAACGACGTCTCCTAATTCAAGCCAGCAGAATGTTATCATTCAGCGTGGTAAGCGGACTTTGAAACAATTCAGACTCCCAGTAGAAGAAATAGATCTTGATAAGGGACTAGTTGTGGATGATAGTTCAATCCAGTGGTCCCAAAACATGAAATATTTGACCCAGGGCACCCTCACGCAGATAGAATACAAGAAGGAGGAAAAGGCCATTACTCAGCCCCCCTTATCAGATTGTCCTATGAGGAGTCATGGCATCACTGAGACAAACAGGTCTACATTACCAGTTGCAAAGCTACCAGCATTTCCACCTGTTAGACCTACAGATCTGACCAGGGTCCCATCCCAAGACAACTCTTCTCATCTTCTAGCGTCAGACTGTAACTATAGCTTTAGAGAGAGAAGTTCTGGGGTCCAAGAAAGCAGTCGTTCCTTACAAGGATCCAAAAGAAATAACCTTTCTTTAGCCGTCCTAACCTTGGAGATGTTTAGAGATCAAAGACAGGTCAGCTCCCTGTGGGCGAGTACCAGAAACACAGTCACATACAAGAAATTTGAGGACACTGTTCTGTTGAAACCAGGCTTGCCTGAAGAATCTGGCCAAGTTGAATTGCATCCTAAAGTTCACATTCATCAGGAAGAACTTTTCCCTACAGAAAGTAGCAGTGGGTCTCCTGGCCACCTAGATCGCATGGAAAAGATCCTTCTTCAGAACTCACAGAGAGCTCTTAAACAGAATAAAGCAAATAGACCTGGAAAAGTGCCCTTTCTGAAAGAGGCAACAGAAAGCTTTGAAAAGACTCCCTCCAAGCTACTGGGTCCTCTTCCTTGGGATTACCAATATGCTACCCAGATACCAAAAGAAGAGTGGAAATCCCAAGAGAAGTCACCAAAAAACACAGCTTTAAAGAAAAAGGGCACCAGTTTTTCCCTGAACCCTTGTGAAAGCAATCATGCAATAGCAGCAATAAATGAGGGACAAGATAGGCCCCAAAGAGAAGCCACTTGGGCAAAGCAAGGAGGGACTGAAAGGTTATGCTCTCAAGACTCACCTGTCTTGAAACGCCATCAAAGGGAAATAACCCTTAGTACTTTTCAGTCGGAGCAAGAAGAAAGTGACTATGATGATGTCATCTCAATTGAAATGAGGAGGGAAGATTTTGACATTTATGGTGAAGATGAAAATCAGGGTCCCCGCAGCTTTCAAAAGCGAACGCGACACTATTTTATTGCTGCAGTGGAGCGGCTGTGGGATTATGGCATGAGTACATCCCCCCCTATTCTGAGAAACAGGTATGAGTCCATTCACGATTACTTTGTCCTAATATTGTGACCTTTGGCTTTACTCGGTGCTGAAATGGTAGAAAAGGCACACCCGATCTGCAGCAGTGAGACTCCAGAGATTGCTTTATAGAGAAACTTGAGGACTCGGTGGCAAAATCTAGATGAGGCTGAGGAATAAATGGGAGGTTAGATGATAACAGCAACAACGACAGTTAGAGGATGGTAAACAGGATGGTGTGTCATACTTACGCTGCTGGGATGGAGGGGACAGGGGTTTACAAGAGGGCAGAGGAGTCAGGGTCAGGAAACGGCAATGGGGAGCAGCTGTGAGCTGCAGGGGAAATCTTATTGTCATGAGAGCCCTGAGAGAGGAAAGAGGAAATGAGGTGTGTGGTAAAGAGGTTGTTTTCCATGGTACTGGGGATCCAGAAGGCAAGGTGGGAGGATTTGATTTTTAGGGAAGCAGAGGGATGTTGGTCAGGGGACAGAAAGCACAGAGAAATTTTTTTGTTTTTTTGTTTTTTAAAGTTTTTATTGAATCAAAATCGATTATACATATCTTGGGGATTCAACATTGAGATATGTTGATCAAATCAATATTATCAGCATATATATTGTTACAAATCGTAATTATTCTTTATGTCCCTTGTCCAATCTCTCCCCACCACCCACTCCTTCCCCCTCCCCCATCTAAAATTACCCACACAGAGACATTTGGAAGATAAAAATAAGGATAATCAGTCAACAAATACTTATGGACCACGTACTATATGCCAGACATTGGAGTGTGGTAGGCAGCGGCTGGGGTCTTGCTTTAGCTGTTGTGCTCAGAGGAACCCTCTTTGTGGACTTGAGACCTACATGATAAGAGACAGAGGGACCAGATAATGCAAAGGCCCTAAGAATGGAAGAAGTTGGGCACGTTTGAAAAACAAAAAGGGACAAATATGACTGGAGTACAATGAAGAATTTGGGGGCAATGTGGGAGAGGAGCAGGAGTCAGTGGAATGCTATTATTTCTCCCATTATCTTGACAGAAAACGTCTTAAAGTAATTGTTCCTATTTGCTGCCTTTGGATCGTTTCCTCCCATTCTCTCTTTAACCCACTCCAAAAAAGCTTTCAAACCCATTATTTTATAAAACTACATTTTCAAGGTCACTGTTGAGCTTTACAGTACTAATTCTCAGTTCTCGTCTTAATTGAACTCTCCGTCCTTGATACATGTTCTCACTCGGTGTTTGTGACATCACTTTTCCCTCATCTTTCTACTGAACTCACTGGTGCTTGCCCAGCCTTCTCCATGGCAGTTAAAAGCCATTCTTTCATTTCAGTTACTCAGACCCCAAACTTTGAAGTGATTCCTAATTTCTCTTTTTCTCTCACACGCACATCTAATTCTTCAGAGGATACTGTTGGCTATAACTTCAAAAAATAACCAGAATTTGGTAATGCACTGAGTATTGGACGAGATGAAAATGTACTGAAATGGAAAGGTGAAGATGGTTGACTGGAAAAAAAAGCAGGTTACAAAGCAAGAGAGGACATACAATAAAGTGTTACACTAGATGCTGTAAAAGTAATGTATTTATTATTTAAATGTTATTTGTCTATATATTTGAATTCTCTACACTGCATATGCACTGCATCTGTAACAATAAAAGGCTGTTTAAAATAATAAAAATAAACCCTGTAAACACACAGACACACAGACACACACAAACACACACAATCCAGCCTCTTCGCTACATCTCAATGGCCACTATCCTGGTCTAAACCATCATCAACTCTCATCTGAATTATTGCCACAGCCTCTTAACTGGACTTGCTGCTTCCAACCTTGCCCTCATACAGTCTTTTCCCAACATAATTTAAAATAATTTTTTCAGATTGTAATTCTGATCATTGTTCTCTACTCCCAATCCCGTAGTGGATTTCCATCTCACCCAGACTAAATTCAAAAGCCCTCACCATTGCTTTCAAGTCCCTGTGGTATTTGACCCTCTGCCACCTCTCTTTTCTCATCTCTTGCCACTGTTTTCTTCTCACTCAGCTTCAGCCACACTGGCCCCCTTGCTCCTCCTAAAACGGACCAGGTATGCTCCTGTCTCTAAGCCTTTGCACATTCTGTTCTCTCTGCTTGAAATTCTCTTCTCCTGATATTCTAATGCTAGCTCTCTTACTTCCTTCAGGCTGCTGTTCAATGTTATTTTATCAGTAAGGCTTTCCCTGAACACTGTATATAAATGTAGCTTCCACCATTCTTTTCCCACATACTTACTAGTACCTGAAATAGTATATGTTTATTTGTTTATTGTCTATCTTCCCCAACTGGAAGGTAAGCTCATTAGTGGCACAAAATTTGAAGGTCTTATTCAACGATATATCTCCAGAACCTTGAACAGTGCCTGGCACGTGATAAGTGCTCAAATAAATATGTTAAATGAATTAGTAAATGATACATGAAGGGAGGTAAAAGCAGGCCTTTCATGCATGTCCAAACTCCAGGAGACATAAATTATATGGAGTTGTGTAACATGGCATCCATGTGCAGCGAGACCAGTTAAGACGTCATTGCAGTCATCCAGATAAGAGAAGACAGTTGTTTAGACCAGTGTGGTGGTCATGAAAATGGAAAGAAATAGAAAGATGTTGGGTATAATTTGAAGATAAGCACACAGGGCTGGCTGTTAACTGACTATGGGGAGAATGGGGAGAGAGGACTCAAAGAAAATTTTTTAATTTTTGTCCTGAATAAGTAGGTGGATAATGGTGTCATTTACTGAGACATGGAAGGCTTGAGGTACAACAGATTTATTTGAGGAAACACTCAAGGGTCTGTTTTGCACATATTAAGCTTCGGATGTCCATTAGACACCCAAATTGAGATGTTGAGTAGGCAGTTGATATATATGTGCCTGAAATCCAGAGAAGAGGTCTGTGCTAAAGTTATAAATTTGGGAGTCATAAACAGACGGATAGCATTTAAATAACACTTGATGGGACCACCAGGGAAATGAAAGTAGATGTTAACTACCCCCACTTTAAGCTGGGTCCCCAAAGGGCAGCATCCTCAAGGTAATAGTGAACCAGTTAATTTGCACTCCATTGACTTATAGCCCAGTTTTCTGTCATTTGTGTTGTCCATGAAACTGCTATTCTTGATCATAATTTAAGCCACTTTTGGGTTGGCAATGTCCCCACACATCTTCCCGGAAGAAAAAAATATATATGAAACCTCTCTAAGAAAAGAAACCAACATCACAGGCCACAAAGCATTTTCATAAGTATTTCAGATAACAAACACGTTAGGTACAAAAGGAAACAGGAAAAAGTAAGCAAGATGTAACAGAAACCATACAGAAGAAGAAGAAACTCACAGACCTAACATCTTGGAATCATCAAATGCAATTATTAAAACAACTACACATCATGTAGAAAGAATTAGTGAACTGGTAGGTAAGTAAAAAGGAAATACAATGGAATGCAACATGTAGAGATTTTATAAAATGGAAAATACAAACAAGATTATCAAAGACTACGGCCGACTGTGTTTCCAAAAATGAATGTGCCAATATACCGTGTCCTATACGCTCTCGTGAACTGCGACCTTCACACTCTCCCATTCAAGAAGTAGAGTCTAATTTCCCTCCCCTTGATCTGGGCTGGCATTATGAGTTGTTTGTGACCAATAGAATGGGGCAGTCATTTGTGACCTATAGATGTGGTGGAAGTGATGGTGTGTGATTCCTGACGCTGGGTCAGAAAATACCGTGCAAGTTACATCTGGTTCTCTTCAGATTCTCTCTCTGGAAGAAGGCAGCCATTATATAAGAAGACTAACTGCCCTGGTGCCACCATTCTGGACAGGTCACATGTAGGCACTCTGGTCAAGAGTCTGAGCTGAGCCTTGTTTTCCAGACATGTAAACCATGCTGAGCCTTTCCTCCCAGCCCAGATGCCAGCTGAATACCACTGAGTGACCTCATTCAACACCATTAGGAGCAAGACTATTACTTAGTCAAGAATTCCTGACTCACAGAACCAGCAGTTTAATAAAATGGTTGCTGTTTTAAGCCACTAAAGTTTTAAAAATACTTTGTAAAACAGCAACAGAGGGAAAGGAAAGAGGGATTAGAGAAGAAACAATATTTGAAGAGGCAATGACTGACTATTTTCCACAATTAAAAAAAAAAAAAAAAGACATCAATGCACAGATTCAGGGAGCTCAACAAATCCCAAACAAGATAAATAAAAATATAAACACCAAGGTACATCTTATCAAAGTGAAACTACAGAAAACACAAGAGAAAACTCTCAAAAGCAATCAAAGAAAAAAGACAGCATACTTCCAAATGAGATTCAGAGAGGTGACTTTTTAGTAGTGCTAATTAAAAATAGAAGATCATGGCAGAATAAGAAGCTCCTGACCCTCCCTTCACCCATGGACATGCCAAATAAACATCTCTTCATGTAGCAGTGCAGAGAAGGTGCTTAAAAATGCATCTCACTGCTTCTTCCCAGAAGGGGTTCATGCCACACATTGAGCACCCCAACTTTTACAGTTACCACCTTGCAGACTCCATCCTAAACCTCCTAGTTCTGCGAGAAGAAAGGATATGCATACGTCAGTCTTTCTAGATCACAAAACAAGAGGTGGTATTAAACTGGTGTCCAAACACTTCCAGGGGCTACACCCATTAGGAGTAGTGTGGATACTGTGCTTCCTCAACCTTAAGGCTCCACAGTCATCCCAGTGAACTCACAGGATAGGCTACAACACCTTGATCCCAGCATCTGAAAGTCAGAAACCAGTTGATGGACTCCTACCCACAGGGCAACTGAGAAAATATTTCCATCAAACGGACAGGAAAAGCTGAGGCAAACTCAGGCACAGACCCTGCCCCAGGAACTGCACCATACAATTGGAAAAGGAATCCCCAACACCAGCTCTCTGTGGAGAGGAAGGTTTGGACCCTGCATATGTTGCCCTAACTCTAAGATGCCCAT